TCATTACTGAAGAACATGCGCTTCAAACATGCCATCTCTTCCGTTGTTCCTTCGTACGTGTCGTCGCCGCTCCCTACTAAAGAACCCTCTTTCCTTCTGTGCTGACGAATGAGCCAAGGCAAGAAATGTTGACAGTAACAATAAATGTTACCTCAGATTCACCTTCAGTGAGTCCTTGCTATTCGGGCTTAGTGAAGATTTCCCTATTTTTTGACATTTGTTCCATTTTTCAGCACACGCACTCGAAAACGTACATAATATTTGTATTTAGCAGGATATATTTGTTTCGATATATATATATATATATATATGTATACGAACATCTTTCGTCTTCGGCAAGTGCTTGATCGGTGTATCTAACCCCCTGATCAATTTGCAAATTGTTAGACGTGTGTTCATCACTTCAGTATTACAGAGGCGATCGAGGTCTTTTTTTCTAATGATACAGACCGTAGGAATAGACATAGATGAAAGCTTACGAAAGCGCGCTCCAAATAGGATACGTAGGTAGTCCACAGATGGCTAGCACCTCTATATCCCTATCCCATAGTGCTGCTGCGCCAGAATCGAATGCAAGAAGGGAATCTTGAGAAAATGATCTCGACTTATTACGCATATTGTTGACGCGTCCATTAAGCTATACTTCTTCTAAATGTCTCATCGATATTATAGGTAATTAAAAATGGAAATTAAAATTCTCTTGGATGTTCATCAACCATAGATATATATCCTTTGAGCATTGGATAAACTGCTTGAGAAAAACGTAACGTTCTCAGCAGCTTGCTCACCCACATCGTACCAAAGCACACCCAACCCTTTTTGACTTTTGACCTCATTAGTACTCCTCATACCGTCAATTCCGCGGCATTCTATGGTACAAAGCTACATTTGTGTAGCCGACATCATGATAGCGAAACACTTTCGACATGTTTTTTTCGCCATTTGTCGCCAACTACGTTGGCGATGTCGGTTTCCTTGCCCTATTGAATTTAGCAAATGGCGAATGATAAGCGAATCATGATCATTGTCACAACAAAATCAGTGAAACTAGACACAAAACGCTTCATTGCAGTCACTTAGCTCTAATTAAACTTCTTTCCATTATTCGTCTCGTTTCTGTTGTTGCTATAGAATTCGTAATTTGTGTGAGATGGCCACGCAGAAAAAATACCCAGCAAAGCCTATCGCTAACGAGTCATTCTATGTTGGTCACTTTTTTTTCCTACCCTTTGATTATTCTGTCATATTATTATTGTGAATGTCTTTTCCATACTCGTTTTTAGCATTGAGATATAGCTACCTGTACTTACATGCCGAATACTTTTCTCCAGACACGTTTTTCTTGCCTGTAGTTGATATTAGAAGGATCGGCATGCAATGTATATATGGTCGTACGCTGCGATCCTCCTCTAATCAAATGGAGCAACGATTTGACGGCGGAATAATGAAGGAGTTTGCTTAATAGTGTTGGTATAGGACCAGTCAACAGGAACCAAGAAGAGCTACGGAAAAGATTTGCAATTTTTTTTCTTTTACAGATGTAGTTTTTGATCATCCAACCCTGTCATATTCGTAAAATGTCTCATGATCTTCATAGGCCCTACGAGCTTTATCCTAACATTGCTTTTGTTCGCAACCAAGCCCTGCCGTGATTACGTGCTTGTTTTACCATGAAAATGTGTTTCAGGATATTCTTGATACACGTCTCATTCGCACGAATTCTATGCCACATTATCCTGCTTTTGTCTCATTCCCGTCTACATAACATATGATCAATATGAGGCTTCCTACACAAGCGACCTCTCCGCCATAACTGCACATTTGTGCTTTGATATTGTTCCCGACCCATGAGTGGCTTATCCTCGTGCGTCATTGCTAATTCCGGACGCATAAGTATGTCAGATCTCAAGAAAACTGATGAAACCATGGATCGGCCAGCTCGCTACCGTATAATTCAATGATCGCCACTCAAAGCCTAGCTCCGACGGAAGAAACAACTTCAAGAGGTGAATACAAATAGATGCCCGCACTGAATTCATTTACCACTCGGCATCTCCAACTGACTTTTGGAAGACATAATCTCGGCCTTGAATATTCATAATTCCATCCTTGAGGTTAAACTTCCATCGATTGCGGCTGCGTGATATCTTGTCGTACTGGCAGACGACGACGTTATCAATTTCCTGTACTTCTGAAACCTGTGAATATGGCAATTGAAATAAACCCAATATTATAGAAGAAGCTAATTTACGCTTTTATGTTTTTGTTATCCAGCGCACGCAATTAAATATTTTTTTTTCGTAAATCTAATGAACCTTCGGAATAGATCAAAATGTTTGATGTCTACTTACTTGTACTTTATACTTATATAAAGGCAGCTTTTATCAGGTACTTAAAAACTTTATCCATACTGATTTACTTCATGATACAAGTATAGATAACAGTTATTTGACGTCTATTTGTTACTTGTAAACAACTAGTGCATCAATAGCACGATCCGGTTGAGTAACAATTTTATACACGTAATGTTGTAAAATAATTATTTCTGTACTCAAAGAGCATGTGAAGATGTACAAAATAATTATTTCCCTGCCACTTACCTCTTCGTCGCTGACATCATCTGCCGAATTAAGGGGCTCCTCATCGACTTCGTGTTCGGCTCGATCATCGTCTTCATCATCAAGCTCATCCCTATCGTCTTCTTCGGCTCCCAGTCGCTCGTCCTCAGACGAATCACTCGAGTCCGAGCTGTCTATCATCGCTCCGTCCGTCTGACCCGGAAGCTATATGGTAATGCAGAAATGAGACACATTCACATGTTTGTTGTTCTTTGGATTTTTATTGTGCTTTACTTACGCGATACCATTAAAGGCCCACATCTTCAAAGACCTGCTGGCACTGGTGTGCTTGCATTTTTTTCTGAATAGAAGAATTTTAAGAGAAAAAAAGTCCTGCATATCTTTTATATGCTTTTATGTTGTAATCAAATAGCTATGATTGGCGAAGTTCTCTGAATCGATCACTATTTAATTGGACATACTAGAGAAGTGTACGAACAGCATTTGATTCATCCCGTAGAATGTATAAACATTACGTACTCGACCTAACCGCAACTGCTGCGTCGCACCGGCCACCTGTTGCTGGTTGGCCATCTGCTGTTGCAATTGTTGAGCTGTAGCCAACGTTACCGGCGTTCCTAGAGCACCGCCAGCGACAGCCATTTGCGTTACGGGGCCTGCTGTAACCGGTCCGCCAGCACCTGCCATCTTTAAGAGAAGCAATATGACAAACAAGATATCATTCACAATAAATTCAATGAATTAACGAGCAGTTTATTTCTCTATGAGATCACATTTAATGTCACGGAGTATGCAGAAGTTTTCATCTGACGGTATGCGGAAAAGTGTAAAATAATTCAAGCCGTTTTTAGTACGATTGAACATAAAACAGTGTGGTAATTAATAGGTTATTAGTAAGACCACTGCAAAACAAACAAATACACCCTATTCAAACGAAACATTACATCACTTCAATATGCTTTTTCTAAATGAATGCGGACAAGAATGCTACGTATGTTCCCTTTTTGTAACTCGGACTATCCTTCTCCGTCCCAGCATCTGAAACATTATTTAGGCTGAAATGGCCTTAAACTACTATAAACGGGAATCACGTTACCTGTTGCATTGGAACCGTGATGGTGTACTGCGCTTGTCCGGTAGACCGCGCGATCTGTTGACGGGTAAGCATGACATTATGGATCGCCTGCATTTGTGCTGAGCTGAGCGCATTATTACCTGCATAAACAAGCGTTGTTAGCATTCATCACTGTTATTACCGCTGAGGTAGCGCAAAGTGAGAAAAACGAATGGGGCACTGGCTTCCAGCGTATCACCAAAGACCAGATTGATCTATTTCGAGCTTACGTAAGCTATGTAGTACCTATACGGGTCAACCGGCGATTTAGCAAAGAACTGGCGGTGCTTGCATTGCTATGCCCTATTAATCCATTACCCATTCCTTCTGACCACTGCTGTTTTCGTAACGAACAGTTGCAAGCTTTGTCTTCTGCATTGTGTAATAAGCCCCTACACAGACATGCAGACACACACGCATGCTGACGTAGTTTCGGTATCAAACTCGTTGTGGCAAAACTACAAGATCAAAAGCCTACGGCAATATCATATACAAGTTCATGAAAATGATTGTATTTTTGCAATAAAGTAATTGTCTTTATCTTTTTTATTTTCTAAATTTAGGTAAAAAAGAACATGATATCGAACATGAGAAAAGCCTAATCATATCAAAAAGCTTGGAGAAGGTATTTATAGAAAAACAATAGCACTTGGAAACCAACAACTAATGACATGTGATTACATTTCTTTAATCTATATAAGCGTGCTTTTTTTAGAAGTTCTTTAGCAAGTACTTGGTTTATTCCCCCCCCCCCCCCCGGGGGGGGGGAATAAACCAAGTAAATCTCAGCAATCTCAAAGGTAAATCTCAGCAAAGCCCATCTCAGCAAGATGGGAGAAACCTCACATTGTATAATGACAATAATAATAATGATAGAAAAAAATTAATGATGATAACGGGCATATGGAGAACTTTTTCTTAGAAGGGTGCAAACTTCAGCATTTTTTGATTGAAGTGTCTTATAAGCAAGGAAAGTACCCTTAACAGTATATCGGTTAGTACCAGATCAATAGGTTCGACACAACTGAGTGCACATTCACATAAAAAACAGAAAAAACCTGATTACAATTACATAATTGTACAAACATATGAGACTACATTATATCAGACTACTATCACTTCCATATAGGTATTAATATCAGAAGGACAAAAACAAAATAGAGTTACATACTTGAATTCAGAAGCTGTGCGGTCATCTCTGGAGTGAGAGTGATCGCGCCTGTGGTGGACGCTAAGGGCAATGTTGCCCCTGCTGTAGATGCAGTTGGCATCCGTATCGTAATTGGGCCGGTAACGCCTCCGACATTTGCTACCGTTTGGGGGGCTGCCATCGAACCGACAGCTCCACCCACATTGACACCCGCGCCGGAGTAATGAATTATCTGAGGGTTGACCACCGGAGCTGACTGAATCATCTGCCAAATAATCATTATTTAAAAACGTAAGGAAACACAGAGGAAAAGATAATCAGGTTAGAAGATATTCAATGTGTGTTGGGGGCATAATGTAGATCAACACGGTTTGTGACCAAAACGAATTTATTATTTTTGTTAACGGTTTTTCCGTTATTTCTTTTTCGCAGATTACTAATGTAATGTGCTCGCCAGGCATAGCCAAGAGTCATAAAGTACGTTCAGTATAAGATGTACGCAACTTCCAGAACTATACATTTCGTTATATTGATAATGAGAAACATTTCAGATGTACATCTGAGCAGTCACAGCTTTTAATGGACGACACATCTGATACGCAGTGCATTCACTTATATTTTGTTTAAGATGAAATCATCAACAAGCGCATAATTTTCGCTACAATTAGTTTGATCAAAAAGAGGTCGAAAACCTTCGGCAAAGGTTGGAGCTACCTCAAATTCGAAGGACAAGCTGGCACAGTGTTTGCACCTATTTGTCTAAAAAGCAACGAAGCACGAACTGCTCATTTAACGTCAGTCGCCGTTGCCAAATGCACGCTGTTGGATGTGTGATTACTACGTATTTTGCTGCTTTTTTTGCCGGGGCTTTCCTTTATCAAAACAACTTTGATAATCGACGAGCATTTGATGTGTACGTAGTCGTTCATTGTGAAGATAACGGAAGACTGGGACATCTTTACGAGAAAGGTCAGTTGAAAAAAACCTCTGTTAAGAGTCTGCCCAGTGACAACAAGTGTGGTAGAACCAACCATTCGACATTACATAAGTCGTTTCGTTCAAGACGCAATTGCTATACAGGTGCAGAGTAGAAATTGTGAATATTAAAATTTTTAACGCTGGCCTACTAACTGACCACGTATGAGTTTGATTGGATCATCAGCTGAAATATCATCACACTGCTGCGAAATCTTCAGCTTATTTTATCGGCTTACGAATGTTCTTTTAGGCGAGCAATGCTAATTAACAGCCAATTCATAGGTAGATCAATTTGACTATCAAGTTGAATTCAAGCACCAACCTCTCAGTTATTATTCTTGATCTATAATTGTTAAACTTGAGCCAAAATAGCCAATAAGTTGGTTAACGGTTCCAATATTGAACGAAGCTGCGTCGCGCACTCAAGGGTAAAGTGATAAGTCGGACACAGTGTGGCAACAGGAACGCCTATTTTCACGTGTGCTGAGTGACGATCAGTTTTAAAAAAAAACGATCTGAGCTTCGCATTTCAAAATGCTACCATGCTTATCAGTCTCAATTTAACAGCAAACGTTAGATATCGACGACCGGCAGTGAGATTCAAATATTGATTTTTGGAACCCATAAAACGGCTTCGAGGCACAAGGACATTTCAAAGTTAGCGTCGTTAGAGCATTGTCTGCCTAGTATATTGAACATATACAATTCGGGATTCGATTCTGTTTTGAGCAAGCAACTGTTACGTGGTCTTAAAGGCCACGAAAACATCGGACTATTTAGCTTTCTCATCCAGGCAGAAGACCAAATAGTACAGGCGTCTAAAGAGTAAGACATCGATCTTTAGAGCCTGAACTGACACATAATTTATAGACGAAACAGGCGGCGTTTTCGTGTGGTATGTAAAAGTACACCGGCAAAATAACGAAAAAGATAGTGTCGCTATTATTTTTGACCCGTTCGAAAAAAAACTCATCCAACACTCGAAGAAGCCCCAAATGAAACCGAACGTTATGTACGAACGTATATAGGACCTCGTGTTACTTTAGAACATGACAGAGATATACGAGCAAAAATAAATACGATAGGCGAAAATGGTATTATCAAATTGCACTATCTTAGAAATCTGTAACAATCATAACGCTGGCCGAATTCACAAGTTGGGGCTGTTTGGAACATTTGTAGAAGCAAGTTGACCGTTAATGGCTCTACCGTAGCTGAGTTTGCAGTTTAATAAACTCCTCATTCTGAAGCAAATGGCGCTGTACGCAGTTAAAAAAATGCATGGTCGCACGATAGGAATGGAGTTCAAGCACGTAAAATAAAATGCCGTGAATTGGTAATTTCACAATGAAATCGAAACCAGTGACTTGTCTCGTCGGTATTTTTGTATGTTTACTATCTAGGGTGTTCGGTATACATTGGACTAATACGTCTGTCTCGTCGCATCGAATTAAAAAGATGTTATCTTTTTCATTCATCGTGCAAATATTGTTTTATTTAGTATTATATAGTGGCACCTGCTTGGTTACAGATTTGATTTCGGTCGTAAACCGCTTTTTCTTTCCTTAATTTCTAAGTAAAACGATAAAGGTGCGTTTAACTTCTTCGTCCTAACTTTTCAAATTATATTTACTTGAAAAATTAGGACGAAACTTCAACTAACTATTTAATATTTAAAATAAATATTAAATAAATATTTATTTTTAAATAAATATTAATATTATATATGCAAGTAACGACCACATTGCCAGAGCGCACCCCCTAGATTGACGACAATCACCGCTTTTCACGCATTACTCAATAAGTATTAGATTTCCAGTTAAATACGGTTTCGCTTCTATAACTATGTAAATAGAGCATGATTTTGAAATCAATCACCGCTGGCTCAGTGCCGCGCGAAGGATATCTCTGTTCTGGGGGTAAATAAAATATCACTGATTCATGCGTTATGTACTTAACCATTAGGATCGTGGGTCAAGATCGACGATGAACTTTTTGCACCACAATCAACATCACGAGGGCAACAAAAGCTTTAGACAAAAAGAGTATACAAGTCGTCATGCGAAAAAGATAAGTAGATCGTTGAACTTTTTTTGTAGCTATAGAACAATGTGCTAATGCTACTGAGAATCAAAACTTATTTTAGCGAATTTAATGAGAATCCAGAGAGGAAACTGTAAACCCAGAGAGCAGAGGAAACTATAATTTTACATCTGACACTAATAAGATTGCATGCTACTATTTGCTGCCGTAAGGATCACAGCTTTTTGAACAGTAGCTCCAAAATATTGAGTTGCCGGATGTTGACGGGGCACCCTCATTGTTGAAGTGCATAAATATTTCAATATTTATAATATAATATATTTATAATATATAATATATAAATAATAATATATATATATAGAAAAAAATAAATATATAATATCATATATATATAGTGATAATAAAGCTTTCAATATTTAGTCTGATCTGCATGTTGTGCTAACATATCAATAAATCGACATCTCTGCATATACACTGTTATTGGTAACATCGAATGTTGGATATTTGTCGGAACACAAACGGAAATGCGTGTACGTATTCTAATTGACCCCGAGTAATCACTGATCAAAGCGTAAGATCGGACAAACTCAAGTTTAACTCTATAGTTAGCGCTTTTATTAAATCACGCTGTATAAAAGAAATTAAAGACGAAAAGAGTTTTGCTTCAAAATTTATATCAGTCATTGATATACGTTTAACACTGTGAAGAAAGCAGTTTAAAGGGTTGTGTGAAATTTTTGCCACAAACCGTTTCAATAAGGATTTGATCCTAACGTGGCAAACCGATTCCGTGCGTTGAGTGTCACGAACTGGCATTTGACTGCAGTGACTGAATTCGTATTGCACACTGAAGTACATTAGGGGGACTCTAACACAGCGAATCCCTACGGATACAAAACCTGACTAAGCGGCGTGTGGTGACTACCTGTAAGACACTGGCGTGCGTTTATAGCAAGAAAGACATCGAAGACTACGATTTCGTTTTAATTGAAATCGATAACTCGTGTGTTAGTATACCTGTGGGAAGGCGAATTGTTCGGTCGTGACCGGTGGAGGATTCCGTTGAACTGTGATTGGCTGAAGCACCCCGGGTTCCGCCTTTGGCGTGCTTGCTGCTACCTAATGGATGAAGGGAAATGCGTTCGTTAGCGTAACAACTGTTGCTTGCCTATGTTTCATTACGATTACATTTTCACTTATTTTTTCCGTCTACAACTCGGCATATGAGCTAACATTGTCGACGAAATGTGATTATATCCATGCTTTCCAGCATTTTATGCGAGCTTCCTCTGCACAGCAGGCAGTGAATCCCCGTTTAAGTGACGTTGAATATTTGGCATAGAGAATAACTCGATTTATAAAAGTCACTATGACTTGAGACCTAACGTAAACCAAATACTCTTATTGCAATATGCAACTGAATAGACCGCTCAGGGCACCTTACATGACCGTTATACAGGTTAGAACATTATATATCTTGCTCAATTTACTAAATTCACTTTGTCGTCTAGAGAACAGGCTGAGCTCCGTACTGATATCAAGCACTGGGCAAAGTGCTTCTACGCCTAAATATCTTGACACCGTATGAGTGCGAACTAAATTAGCAAGATGACGACACAATCTGTGGGCGTATTGGTAGGCGCATATATAATAGCTTAGGACAAGAATTCGGAGGAAACTCACGACGTAGTGAAATTACAAAAAAAAGTTAAACTGTTCAAAACGAAAAAATATCAGGTTGATGTCCTTACTTTGCTTACTCCTATCGATTTGCTAATGAGTTGCTTAGCTGCTGCCGGGGCGGACGTTGTGTTAACCTTAACAAGTGGCACTGGGGGTTCGACAGGCTCAATGGCTTTGCTTTCCGTTAGCTTCTTTTCCCATAGCTGCTTAAGCTCTTGCAAGACCTGCTCGTCTACTCCCTCATCAAGAAAAGCATCTTTTACACCTGAAATATTAAATGAAGACATATATTGATTGAATTATTAAATGGTACAGGTGGCGGTGTCGGCTTCTTTTTTTATATATATATATATATATATATAAAACAGCGCCTATACTACGCTACAGTACCGCACGCGATGCCTTGTTGTTACAAGAGGAATGTCAATCAAACGGATATAGGGCGATGATTTCCCTTGGGGTTTTTTTCGGTTTATGGATCTTAATAGTTTGTTAGTTCACCCAGTCCTCAGTTCGGGCTCAGTCGACTGAGTTAGTAACGTTTTACGGTCACTTCGAAGAATATGAAATGTTGACGTTGGCTGGGATCAAATATAGTTTAATGCGTGATGGGTTGTTATATATCAAAGAACATACCGGAGCATACATAGCTTTGAAACAGTAAGAATGTCATATCTACTGAAGTTACTGAAAAGACTAGTTCGGTAATTCAAAGGCAGTTGAGTATGTAGAAACTGTTAGTAGCTTATTTAATTGCTGAGTGAATATAATAATAATGCACGTAATTATCGGTTCAAAAAGGTACTGTAGCACGTGTTGAAAAACCGAGATTAGATGGATAGTGCACTCATATGCAATCATGGCACTCAATGCAATCATAGCACTTTGCGTTACCCGCCTTAAAACATTGATGCTCTTGCATTTTATAGTAATATCCGAATCAAGATATGTCTTGCTGTAATAGGGTTTTCAACACAAACTCAAAACGAACCACAAACGGAGTTCCATTTATTGATTCGGCAAATTAATCCTGCTCATAATAAGTAGTTCATATTGCTAATTACTGACGTTCGCGAAGTTTTAGGCAAAAGCAAACACTTCAGCCAATTCGTTTGATGTGACTTCTTCACGATCATTTTGGTCTTATATCTTCTATTCTTCAGGCCCTCAGGGAAATTAGAAGCACAGAGAATTTACAGCCACGGGTTATGGTAAGGTAGGGAACGGCTTGAACTAAAGGATAATAAAGCACGGTAGAAATAAAGACCGGTAAGGAATGTCGCGGCTCACAAAAAGCCAAAGCCGTAACTCCGTTTGTTGTTAATCGTTGGGAATTAAGTTTTCGTTAAAACCAAGGAGAAGGCATATTCTAAAATTCCTATCCAAACACTATTCAAACAACCCCCAAACTACAGCAATTTGGAAATGCTCCTGCTAAGGCGGATCTTCAATCTGTTTTCAGCTGTCCTAATAATATCGAGTAGAATATGGAAAACCCGCTTGGCAAACAGTTCGGAAAAAAACTGTCGATTTCTACCGCCTGATCAGACCGTTCCGTCAGTGGCAAAACTGAAATGGGTTAAGCATACATGTTATAGCACTACTCACACATTATGGTAATATGTCAAACTCAAAACCTGTACAAAAAAGACAGCTATGAAATATACGTCATTGAAATGGATCTACTGAGCAGCTGTTTACATGGTCACCGCTAATTTATAACATATACATTTTTGACATCTCTTTGAAACCTTCCAGAGAGACCAGTGCGAGAACGCATTGCGGTGGGAATGTAGGTGGATAGAAAGCGTGAAGATCTGACCTTAACATACGTCTAAATGATACTAGCTACCGGATAACTAAAAATTAGTACCAAATTTGAGCGATCAGCCGAGTACCTATTCTACACTTGTCCTGCAGAAAATCGTGTCACTATTACCTCAAAGCGCCTTAGTTGGCAGGCATTATATATAAGTACAATACTATTGTACAACTCACATGGATACCGCACGGTAAATCGCAGTGGATAAACATCCTTGTTAATTAAGGTTAATTTGACTGACCGTAACCGATTTTAACTGGCTAAAAATTGGCCACATGCTGCACGCCTTAATCATACAAGGACAGGAGATAATACCATTGTCTTTCACGCTTTCTTGTTGCTCGTAGAAATAATGTAGACAGTCAAGTTGAAATCTCAGCTGACCAATCTATACTTCGTGACTGGACGGAATTTCCAAACAAATCGTCGTTTAATAAGTTTCTCGGGAAGAGACGGTCAAAACTACGGTCGTATTATGTACATAGGTGACACGACCGGTCGAGTAGATAGCTGGCTGATTGGGGGTACGCCTAACAAACGCCTTGCGTGACGTTGCGAAAAACACCGGAATTTAGGTAATTAGGTCATATGATTGCAGTGGGTTAGGCAACTATTCCTCGGAAACCAAGAATTTCTAGTTTTACTTCGTGCTTGCCTGGTTGTACTGGGGGTGCATGGCATTGTACCGATGTTGCTTCAGTACAACTTAGGCGTCAGATACACCCAGTGATGTACTGTATTATACGAAACTCGACAAAAGTAACTAATCCGTTTACTCTACGAACGAATCAAAGGTCTCAATGAAGATTACTCACATTGGTGTTAATTATTGTTGTTCCCTTAGCAACAGGCTCATTAGCTGGATGCCGGAAGCGAACATTTTATTTGTTGAGTAATATTATTGTAATAGCGATCTACTTCTGAAAAATGCTGGCCGAGTTTAATGCAAAAGCGACGTGGGTGTTGATTTAACGGTCCACTGACGCAGTACTATACATTTATGGATTTTTTTTATCGAGTATGAAAGGAGCTCATGTTCAGGCAGTTATTCACCTACGAAAAGTTGAGCTACAGGCAAAAAAGTGAGAAGTGGATCAAAACTTAGTATAGAACTGAATTACTACATGCCAACTTCACGAACTGAACTTCAATTGTCTATGCTTAATGAGTCAAAATTCGGACGATGCGGCGACGACCGAGGTTAGGTTCAACTAAAAACAGTTAACAAAAATTAGTTATTTTTCTGCTTGCAATAATAATTGGAACTCTGTCGGATATCGGCTCTTATTAAAAGCTTGTGTTTCTCGGGCCAGTACGTCCTTTTTCGATTTCGTTTGCTGTCCTTCAAAAATTACTTAAACTTCAAGGCTCTCAAAAACCGTGTTCTATTGCCTGGTGAAATCAGTGACGTCGATGATAATCATGTGTTATACGTTCTTACAGTTCACGGATTAAACAACGCCTGAACTTGTTCAATTTATATAATACAAGGCATAGGAGGAAAGCCCTCGGCATAACAAGGTAAACAGCTGTGAGTAATATATGTGTAGTCTGTTACTAATATTTAGATTCTTGGGAGCATTGTTGGTTATTGTCTATGCTGAAACAAAATATAGAGCAAAAAAAACCAAGCCACTGACACATGTTACTCAGGCGTGTGGCCGCTTGCAAAATGACTTTGTTATCCAGTTGAAATATGTTGATTTTTGTCTATAAACATTAAAAAGCGCGAAAATTGCTATACCAAGCACGCTCAGAAGTTGTGTAATACGCTGCAATGATTGCAGATGGCTCAAGTGGGCCAAGAAATGTTCTGAATCAACAACGAGAGATGACGATACGTTGAAACGCGTGAACAAACGTAATTTGGTGCGACTACGTTTGCCGCTTGAAATAAGCGATGTTTATTGAAAGAGCGCCCCGCGTTTTTAACTAGTGATTTTTCTGCTGTAGTGGCGTTCGGGCCATCGAGCCAGTCTTTAAAGAAAGCGAAGGTTTTGCTTAACCGCCAAGCTATATTATCGTGAAACCATATTGACATGTATTAAGTGTGCTTGGATAGTATCTGCATTAACGTATGCGGTTTCTACCTGCATATTTACAGAAATCCGCAGTTTTCTTCTACTGCATTGATGTTATAACGATTGTTGTCTGCGCAGTAATTTGGTCAGGCTATCTTGACCACGCTTGCGAAGCATCATTGTTTTTGTACTAGCAAGTGAGATACAAGAGAGCTCATGCGACAAAGAACAGCTCATCATACAAAAATTGATTGTTTTTGTGATATCACAAATGCCTGATTAGTTACGTTATGGCTTCGCACAGTCAAGTAAAGCAGACCACGCCAGAATAGACCGCGGCGTTCTCGGCGGACCATTGGAAGCCTATACACACAGGGCTATTTGTAACTACAGTGGTACCAGGTAGGGGCTGAGGGGGCGACTGCGTTGGCAGCACTCGTCGCAGCTGTGTAACTCCGAGACCAAGAGGCCGTAGCACTCATTCATGCGAAGCGAAAATTGGCACTCACGCGACAGATTCAACATGGGCAACGCATGCGGCTGCAGCCGACTTTTGCCTTCCCGTTCCATAAGAGCGATTGCGGGTGTCCTCCTCCCAGTATTACCGACCAGGTTAGTCTGTCTCGCCCGCAATCGGACCTAAATAAAATGCGGCTTAACTACAGCTACTGCTAGTACTAGGTGGCAAAAAAGAATCCAGCGAGGCGGAAGGCCCTTCGTAGTTAAAGGTTGTAAAAGACGACTTGTTAGACAAAAAAGAAACGGCGGCAGAACAAAGGGCAGCTAGAAACAAGAACTCAGGCACTAAATGTAAATTTTAAAGACAAAAACCATGCAGAAATGTTTCATCGAGGGAGAATGGTTACTGGGACGCCTTTAAGACGCGACCTGTTTAGTTCATGGCACTGACATGTAGTATTATATCGATGTTACTGTTGTGAATGTTACTCACATGTTATCTAGAAGTTAGCATCAGATGCAAACATTATAGTATTAGTGGGCAGCATCGTCATTCTGTTGTAACCAGTTACTTAATTTACATTTACACAAGAAAAAATAAATTAAAAAAATAAGAGTTCATATTCTAGGCGCAGCATTTCAATCAAAAACATTTCCATTAAGAGGTTTCCTTTTCCATTAGTTTTACTGATTTTTCTCATGGGAACTACGCTGGTTATTTACGTGTTGTCATATGGGATTGTGATACCGAGTGACGTTCGGTGCTCGTTAAAAATTGCAGATATACTGGCCGATAACACATTTTTTTGTTGTGATCAACGAAATCTCTTCGTCCATGTGTCAGCATGGGAGTGCGTCGGTTGGGCATATAGGAGCATCAGTACGTGGGTGTCACCACTTCCTATTTCCAAGCGTTCGTTTGTTCAGTTGCTACTCAAACGCTCGTTCAAATAACAACTGCACTGTGGCTCGTCTTTTTGCTTGGCCGACTTCACCTGCAAGCGAAGCATCTGATGGCTATGTTGTCAGTTGTCATGCTCCGCCGAAAGACAAGGAACATAACCGCCGGGGAAGCACCAGCTGACTCCGACCGTCGACTCCGGAGCTCTCTGGCGTTACATAGCGGTGGTTATGCTTGCATTGCTGGTAATGTCGTTGTGAATCTGAACGGCCGAACAGACGGGTCGATATGAGCCACAACGAAGTCACCCTGTGATGGCCATTCGCCGTATACTGATTATTAGGGCACAAAGTTTCAGTTATATTAATCTGTTCTGCAAAATATATGTAATGTGTATCTGTACCTAGATTCTGGACCATGCGCCAGATATTAACGTAACCTGTATCTACTGCAAATACATTTCGCACGTAAACGAAGCAATAGTAAAGACCTTAATAGACCTACCGGTGATGACATCCTCGATCACACTTTTGTAGATCCGCGCTACGTTTGTAGACGACATTGCTCCAGTTGTGTTGTTTTCGTTGATGATGTGCTCCTTTTGTCTGCTGGGAGATAGTTTCTAGCATGAAAAACGCAGCGCTTCGAAATCTGTGGAGAGGCGGGATGTTCTTCTGGGGGCGCGTGAATCTCGAGCCCTCCGTTCAATCCACTCATTAAACAGAACACGAGTCTACTCTGCTTTAGGTTAGGAGGAAGTAGTACGGTAGATAGGCACAGAGGAACAAATCACTACACGAATAACGTTAAAGAGAATTCGTACGTGTATGAGCGTTCAGAGACGTCGGCATTAAACTAGACAAGTTCTCACTTAGTCTACACCAAACTTTAGCGCCGACACATTCCCACGCAAAAAAATACCAAGATACTTTTCCACGTTGCATACGTTGTGACCGTCAGTGTTAATGCTGATAGTCGATTTGTCGCACTGCGGCGGCAGGTAGTGAATTTGTTCAGGTCGAGTCTGCCTTTTCTTAGCTAATTGTCCAAGTTATCGTCAACAGTATGCGAGATGTTCAGAACACACGAGGCCATATAAAGTTGGCAGTCTGGTATTTGTAATGTGCAGATTCAGCGAACCTTCTGAGGAGATGGAATCAAATCGAGAGCTCTCTTTCGAAAACTCACAACAATTGCAACACAAGTTAGTCAACTGCTGTCGCAACCATAATAATACCAGTGATAGCGTAGCAACACTAGTCTTGGCCAGCTAACGAAATGCAAAAACACTATAGGCAAACAGCATTGCACAGAAGAAGAGACTGTTTATCGATTCAATTATGCCAACTGCACGTCAACACGTTCGGTACATCCGATGGCATCCGGCACACGATCAACAGTTTCGAATAGGCATCCCACGGAAATTCAACGTCGTTTTGTGTGTTGTTGTCCTTCGACTCACTAGCCAATCGGCTAACTGGTTGGCAACACACCCAGATTGAAATTCGTCGCTACCAGGTCATCTAGACGTGATCTCGTCGCTGACCTCGCCTACTGCTGCTACTACTATATGCACTCGATTCGATTCCACTCGGCCCAACACAACACAACGCGACGCAACGCATCACAATGCAATCGACTGAACTCCGTCACTCACTCACTCACTCACTCACTCACTCGCTCGCTCGCTTGCTTGCTTGCTTGTTTGCTAGACACATTGGCCACAACGACAGTGGCTGTCGACTGTTGTTTTTGCTGTTCGCCTGTCTTTCACCGATGACCTGGTGCAGCGACCTGTGGGATCTCGCGTCGCCAGTAATCGTCGACGGATGGCTGGTAGCTAGTCGGATCAGCCGGACGAGTCAGCGTCACAGTAACCACGTTTCGACCAACATGAATTTTTTGAAGGCTCGACGCAGCAGAACGGACCAGTCAGTGATTGGTGACGGGGTCGTCGTATACAGCAACCGGCAAGGTAGGGCGAAACCCAACTCGTAAGAACGATTTGGCGGCTAGATGACGCGTCCGGCTAGCCAGGAAGTACGCATTACCCGATCTCATCTCGATGCACGCGGCGCGACATACGGCGTACCAGTAATATGAAACTAAACGAGCTAGGACTTTCTATTGAGTTATAATTTCTAGCCGGGACTGTACTGACGTATCGAGCGTGGTACCGAGTGCGTTTAGTAACGATGAATCTGAGAACTAATGAAATCGATTTGACATTTGCGTGTAGCTAAGACTAAAAGCAGCGCGACGAGTGTGGAACAGCTAGAGCTCCGAGGAAAAGTAACTCGTCTTCAAGCATATGCGTCGCGGAGTGAAGGTTAGTTCTTTTTAAAATGCGTTGCAATATGAGAGGTGTATTACGCTAGCTACATACCCTGAGCACTTGCTAAATACTGACGCCTGAAAATTGTTCTGTCACCGAGCACAACGCTGGTCTCACCGTACGTATGTAAGTACTGACGTTGTCTACTATTTTGAATTTACGCGCTCTGGCCGCGCCGCAACAGATGTTGTTGTTGGAGCATGCAACATTGTCGTCTGCTACCTGTGCTACGTCTGTGTTATGGTGTCGGAATAGAAGGGCACCAGTAAGGTCGGTATTGCGCTGTCTGCGGACGTGAGAACGTTGCCTTGATTTAGCTCTGTGGTTGTGGAGAATAGCAGGTTATCGCTAATCATTGTGGTTCGTTGCAAAAGTTCATAATGCTGTCCAGGCTGGTCATCGCTCGAGTGGCTCCCCGTGCCATTCTGGGATCCCGATGTTCTAGCTCCGTGGGCAATCCTGGATGTCCTCCTGGTCGTGAAATTCTTACGGGTATTGAAGAAGGTCCCGAGCGCGATCTCGTGAACTTTCCCCGCCTCAAAAGGCCTCTCTACCCTGGCAAAGTCAGGTCCGTTACCGCTGGAACCATGTTCCCTCAAATACATTTACGGATTGAATTAACAGTAGAAAAAGGAACCTATGTACTACATTACCCTTAAGATCGTAATTATTAGAGAAACCAAGGTCTCGGTCATAATTCTGGATGATCTACGGATGTTTGTTTACTCATGCATAGCTATTTTTAATACTGAGGTACTACCATATTATCGAATGCGTTGTGAGAATTGCACTACAATACACCTCTCTGTAAATTACTAAGGGCAACAGAAATTTATGAAAAAAGATTGTGCTCGTAATAGTAGTGAATTAATCGGATTATAACTTAAGACAAGAGCAAATACTTGACGTTAGTTAGGTCATTTAAATCATGCTGCTTTGACTATTACTTTATTTCACAAATTCAACAACGGCCTGTAAGCAATCCAACACAATCTGACGTAAATTATAGTACCTCCCACTTTTTCAATATGTATTTTCTTGTTGGATGTGGCCCATAGCATCATGTTTGGCTACAATGTATTGCATAAACATGTAATAAACAAGTCAATCTATGTGCGGTCATCGGGAACATTTATTCCAGGATGGGAATATTTCCCGAGGAGTGGTTTACAGCATTGTATCCGAAAACTGGAGTAACTGGCCCCTACCTGTTCGGCACGGGTTTACTTACGTATTTGTATTCGAAAGAAATCTTCCTCCTTGACCATGAGTTCTATGTCGGTCTTACTATTGTCATAATCCTTGCCACTACAATTAAAAAATTTGGACCCGAATTGGCCAAGTTTCTCGATGCCGAGATGGACAAGGAAGAAGCCGAAATGAAGAAAGAAGTCGACGATGAGTTCACCTCTCACGAACAGGGCATCAAAGGTGGGTAATCAAATGGAAACAACAACAAAATATCTTTAATCAATAGTTTGTTTCTGTCAGTTTATGTAAAAGAAAACATGGATAAAGCTGAAGGTCATTATCAAATAGATGAAAAGTAATTACTATACACCGAACGTATGTAGCGGAAAGCAGTGGGAAGAATACAAATGATTTAATGACCTTCAACATGTATACTCGGTTAACGGGTAGAACTTGTTACGTAGAAAAGCACTGCTATTTATTAGAATCAAGGCTGTTTTTTCAAACAACTGAAAATAATTTAAGCTAAAAAAAGACATTGGTCCAATATTATCTAAGAATGTTGTTAGTCAAGAGATAATGTATTAAGTACTGATCACCGTTGCCTTGTTCAGGTTATCTATACTGTTACTGTTATCTGTATTAGCAAACAGCACAATGGTTATCTGCTGTGGTAGGTTTTAGCATTTGGTTTACAGTGTAGATATATATGTATACATACATATATAAATATGTTATATTAAAATATTAAATAATGGTGGTATGTGCTCAGCGCTACGGACTGTAGAGTAATGACTAAGGATACTTTTTGTTGGCATTGTTCCTATGTTTTCCCTTCCATTTCTTATGACCAGATGAAGAGCTCCACCAATGGCAGCTGCAAAACCGCATCCCAATGCTGCTCGAAGCCAAAAAGGAGAATGTCGCCCTGCAGCTGGAAACAGAGTTCCGCCAGCGTCAGTTGCAGGTCTGTCTTCGCAGACCTGTGGTAGATTTAATAAGAAGGATTTTTTTGCTGAAGCTCAATAGTTTGTAGTTCTTTGATGAAAGTAGTGTATATTTTTATTTGGATCCTGTCAGCATGATTTTTATATGCTACTAAAAGACGTGAGATGCAGAGTAACTGGGGGCATCCAACGGAAATCATTGACAAAAAAAAACGATGCGTTGTGTGCAGAGTTGGAGTAAACTAGTAGCATTCTGTTATGAGTTTTTCGTAGAACATAATTATTTTAATGTACGTTTTAGTTACACGCGTATTATGTTATTCGAATGAATACATAATGGTAGCAAATAGCTTAAAAAGCCAGGAGATAAACATTTACGAAGCTAACAAACGAAATCCTTCCTCACTAGTGTCACAGCTAGTGGGTCAGTTATATTAGTGTCTGGCGACAGGAGAAGTAACTAATTATATTCTGTGTGTTTGGCTTTCAATGTAGGTGTACGAAGAGGTTAAGAAGCGCCTGGACTATCAGCTCGAGGTTGTCAACATTGAGCGACGCCTTCAGCAGAAACACATGGTTGATTGGGTTGTCTCTAATGTTCTCAAAAGCATCAGCGATAAACAAGAGAAAGACGCACTGGCAAAGTGTATTAGCGACCTCAAGAGCCTGGCGGCAAAGGCCTAAATCTATCTGTGTTTCCAGTCTATAGCTTTTTCAGTCGGGGGTTATATAGATGCGAGGGCAGATTTTATTTGGCGCATGATACTGCCCATTCATAACACTGCGATCTGACTGGAAAAACGGAGAAGCGACCAACGTGGGTATAATCAATGGACGTGAGGCTGCTCCAAAGATCCAATCCAAGGAAGGCTGCTCTTAGATGACTGAACGAATATCACAGTCAGCACGGCAAAGTTAATAAGCCAAGGGCTGGTGATTCTAAAGGAGGCAGCATTTTATCAAGACCAACAGGAGTGTATTCTAAAGCGGCGGGCTCACCAAGAGGTTGTTGAAAACAAAGTAATCTACGGAAGAATGAGCGTGTGCAGTGTGGTCTAATAATAAATTTTAGCTATCCTGTTCCAAGTAAGCAAAAGCGCTGCGTTATTTTTCAGTATCTATAGAAATAGGTAAGGAAAAACAGGTCTTAAGAAAATTGGACACCGGTTAATGTAGGACATGCAATAAATGAGTAGCATCCAGTTCAGTGTTTTCATTTTTATAAAAAAATGAAATCAATGTATAAAGTGTGTACCTTCCTTTAAGAATTCACCGTGTAAGGTATGTACCTGCCTATAAGGTAATTTACGTTGAAAGGTTAAGGCCTTCTGCCTTTATTTACATACTGTATGCACACAAGCCATGGGCATCAAGAATAGTCCAAGAAGTGTCAATTTGTAATCCAAGGCTCACCCATAATGTCAGGATATGAGCGAAGAATGAAGCTCTTTAAATCACAGAACATTTTGGAATAACCTTTGGTCATAAGCGTGTAGCCATGTTGCGGTGTAGTTTCAACGGAGAGTTGTATGCTGTTTTTGATATAGAGAAGAAAAACTAAGCTTTGCACATATAATACTCATTCACACTTAAGTAAAATGCGGTTCGCTAAACCAGCTGAAGCTTAAGATGTTTTTGATGACTCTGAAACACCCTGTCGCCAACGATGGCCCTATGTTAAAATAATTTCGTAAGACGCGCAAAAAACTAATTATAAAGTGCAAGAAAGTATTGGTAACCTGGTATCGTGACAGTCTCATGAATTGTAAAATATTTGCCGTTAGACTATAATATGGCATTTGCTCCGCTAGTACTTACGCGTGCTCTGGACGAACACCATCGACGGTGTAGATTATATACTTATATCCGCAGAACAGAATCAACTCAAAAAAGCTTTTTTTTGCCCAGCTCCTCCTTTAGAAAAGCAATAACAATGCCTAAAAATTATTTAATATATTTACAACGTACTTACATTTAATAATCGAATTCGTCCTCTTACAAGCTCGTCTAATAAGATTCAGTTCAAAATAACTTAAATGCACTCAATACTGTTGCTGTCTAGGTGAAAAAAAAGCACGTGACTCTGCAGAGCTCTGCGAACTAAGCCGTACGAACTGGTGCACGACGATATGGAAGAAAACTCTACAAAAGTTCTTACAGTAGAAAATGTGTTTAAACCCTTAGTGTTGTTCACTTTGCAAAAAAAAGCGTTTTCAATATATGATGCACTACGTCTATTTAATTGGTTTAAGCTGTGACGATGATAAATCTATACATACAAACGGAACTCTTCGAGACGTTTCTCACGGTGCTACCCAAGAATACCGTAAAGATGGACGCTGATGTATAGCGGTGATAATATAATTTCTACTGTTCTTGTATCTTGTCACTTTTAGTAAACGCGTAGCTTATTTTATTTTCTGAATATTGTCATCAAGTGTTGATGTAAAAACTATTACAAAAGAATATTCTCTTTTTCGTATTGTAGTAAATTCTTCGAATGCTTAACTTGGAATGGATTCCAAAATAAGGTAACTTCAAGTCTACTAATTCTTTCCGTGTAATATGTGGATTTAGTGGTAAGAGTGCAAGATTGTTCTGCGTGTTACAATAGTGTTCTGCCTTGCGTTTTACCGTTCACGGTTTGCACGGGCTTCGCGCACATATGTACCCAAAAATCTAGAGTTGCACCATGTTCTTTTATAAGCTAACATAGAGTTTGAACCCTTGTTCATGCTAAAAAAGTCGGAATGACATTTCATACATTTGCGGCCCTGGCAAATGTTTTTATCACTCTCGCAGTCAGTAACTTGCGTTGCATTTTTTATTTATTAATTTCAAGCGGGATTGTAATCGAAAGCGCCTAGTTTTTCAGCCCACGAAAGCCAACAAAATTATGGATTTCCCCTCAGTTAATAACGCAACGATAGCAAATAGCAGTTTTAAAATATTGGCGCGATTTTAGATGATGCCTGCGATTAGAGCCGATGCACCCTGGATGGTGAGTGCCCATCGATATGACTTTTAACTATTTCGTGCGGGGGCCTTTTATTTTTATACAAACGCCGGCCTTGCTAAGGACAAGTGTGGGACGCTCGTCGCTATTAAGTAGCCGAATAAATGTAAGACTTATGTAGAAGTTTAAGGTTACAACTAGCAGTTTTATTTATGTAATCGATAAATCTAGTCAAACAAAAAAATAGGATTAAAGAAAATGCCTTTTTCTTGCAATCAACAGAAAAGAGCTCACAAAATAACGATTTTTGTATCTAATTCTACTTCGATGAATGTCTCTATAACCTGTATATTATCAAGGGCGGCAGACATCGTACACAGAGATTATTGATTTAGTCAATAAATTTTCGAACATTATATATTTTCATAACAAGGCACAATGTATCAATCGTATTCGGCATATGGCTATTATTCTTGAAGGTGCTTAATCTAATTAAGTCTAACTTCTCCCCGCCACCCATCTTCATATGGTACAGAAATTATATTCAACTAGAAGATCCATAAACTACCTTTAAGAATAATAGCTATATACCTATTACGACGAATGTAGTAGAATCAGATGCAAAAATCGTTGTTTTGTTGGCTTCTTGCAGTCGATTGCAAGAAAAAGCGATTTTCTTTAGTCCTATTTTCCTAGATCACGTTTACTGTATATATGATAATTCGATAATAAATTGTACAGGCTGACGCAGCTTTTTGCCTGGTTAAATTTTTCACAAAAACGTTTCTCTGTCTATCTTTGAACAACGTATATTGTGCATTCTGATTGCTATAGTTGTTCCGTAAATGCAATAAGTGTAGCGTAAATAATGACTGAGATGAGATAATTATCCAATTTTACGACGCGTTAAATTTACTTAGTTGGCATAGAAAGCGGTAGGCAATTTTTCAGAACAAACAGATTTGCTGGATAAATTTGAATACATTGTCTAGAAGAGCTTTCTTCAGCTTGCTGCATATTAGGAAGGCACCCAAGGCACTGCGAACGTAGAATCAAAAGCCGTTAGTCCAAACACAGTTTGCTTTACTGGCCATTATACTTAAAAGTAATTCTGGGTCAATATTTAAAGATATGCTTCTTACTCTAAAGGAATTAGTCTTAACTAAAGCGGGAAGGATAAAAGTCACTGAAGATTGGGCTGAGGACAAAGCTTGTCAATCTTGTCTTTATCTATACTGTCCAAAACAGTGTGTAGTTACATTGGGATGTCCTTTTTTGTGCGCTCACGTGTAATGTAAGTAAGGGAAACTCGATCACCACGTCCGCATTACGCGTGGTCTCTATGAATAACGAATCGATTTAAATACTAGCGAGTATTCTACAACAACAGATTATATAACGAAAATTAAAAAAAAAAATCTTGGGTTAAAATCCAGTTCTTAAGATCATGAGCAAACGCTTCATGTAAAATGACACTATTGGTTACCACTGGTGTCTGTACTACGTTACGTTGAATCTCAATGCTTGTTACGTTTGCAACTGATCCTCGTGGATATTCTTACACGACATCACAGGCCGTGCAACAAACATCTGTCCTCGTGAAGTTCAAGTCAGCCAGATGTGCTAAACTTGACGAAACATAGATACTCTTTTGGTGAGAGGAACCCAGGCTTGTCGTGTCATGAAACGTACTTTCTTGTACTCTAAAATGTAAGACTTGTCTGCCAGCTTCGTTAAATGGCATCATGTAATGACACTATGATTAATGTTTAATCCGATGACGTCACGTATTTATTCGTTAATGGATTAATGATTAAGTTAGAGAAATATTAGTAATTATAAGATACAGAAAGGAATTCCGCACATAGGCTTATAATTAAAAAAAAATATTATTCATATATAGAGAGACAGATAATGAATTCATGTCCGCGTAACCAGCTTAAACAACCTAAATATAATGCAACGATGCTATTACCGAAGTCATATAACGGTATGTTTTGAGTACCATTCATAATGGATATTTACTGAGATTTATGCGATAGATTGATGTGATCCTGACAGGCGAGATCAACCTCAACATGGTTTGTCCCCCAGTTCGCTATATTCCATTGTCCATAACATTGTGTAAAGTTGAAATTAAGTCACTAAGCGGGATAAAGCGAAGCGCCACATGCGAAGTAATGTCACGAACGTGACCTTTCCATTCGAGAGGCGGGCGAATATTTTGTTGCGTACTGAATGACCTGGATGAAAAACCTTCGAGAAACCTCAAAGCTTGACACACCATCGTTAAACTGCGTTTGTCGGAATTAAATAAATTCTGGTCGATAACCTGGGCATGACACGCATTGAAAGGTCCGATATTCAGGACCATTAATGTTGACTCAGCGTCGTTTCAAATGAGCAGCAGATCGAAATTACACGACGAAGCTTACGTATACTCCACCGCTGCCTGCGGGAGTTAGCTGGACATGATGTTAAGTGGCCGTTTGCAAGTGCAAAATTTATGATCCCACAACACTCGACTTATATGCTGATGGCGTATTTTAAATTTGTCGTCTTGAAAGTAAAAGCCTATATTAACTAGGATAATAAAACTACCAATTTGATATCAACTGCTGCTGCTAACTGATTTCTTAGTCTAAAATCGTTTTTGTTCCATCTTTTGAATGTTTTATGGTCACTTAATTTGATACAACGCGTTGACGATGGCATAAGATCTTCATACGCGCATAATAGCCTTAATTAATCAGGCTCCACGTCTCTTCTTAGTCTTCAGTTAGTTTACTGTTCCACTTGTGTAATTTTATTCCAATATGCTACACAATATCCGCGGTTTTCGCGAACAACGAAAAACCAGATTAGACCATAATTCTGCAAACTATGAGAACGGCAATATTGTCGCTGAAGAACAATCAAGTTAGCAAGAAGATTAATCGAGGTGGTGAATCCTGCTAACATCACAAGCCAAATCTAGAGATTTATTTTCAACCTAGAACATAAGAGCATCTCATATAGGCAATATCATGTACTCGGATAATTTGGGTTGACTATTTCAAAGCGAGAAGCACGCCGTGCTATTTGTAATAGTCTCAGCTAAAGCGAAGCTATGCATATAACTGTCCACCTTATAAACGTTAAATGTATTTCAAACCGTAAATCAGGTAATCGTTAACAGATCGACGGACTTTGTGACGACTCTCGGGCGGCAGCCGCGACACCCTGCTAGGATAGATCATGATAATAGCTCTGATGTGTATAATAAGTATCTCTATGGAACTCTGTTGTGACCAATTGCGGATGAAATATCAGTACATCGTTATCAACTATCTTAACGAGCTGTATACAGTGTCAATCACCAATCTCAGTATTTTAAAGAACTGGTAGTTGAACCTCATATTTATTTTGCGAAGCCTTGCTAATCTTTGCATAAAATCACCTATTTACAATATGTTTCATGCTTTTTATAAAAAGTTTTAATCGGTGAAGTCTACTAGAAAATTTGACGGTAATGTCTACGAAAGCTTTCTTAGAGTACTATTAGTAAAACGGCGAACACAAAAATGTGCCTAAAAATGGGTAAGATTTCGCCGAAAGTAAGGTATAGATATAACTATAGACAGAAGCTATAGATAATGTGGAGAATTAATCATTGGTAAGCGACACCGGAAACCAATTGCGAAAACACTGCGCTTCACGGTAACTGCGCAGCTATCTGTTATGTAGGCTGCACAAGTCCGTTATTGCGGAAGCATTCCCAACCCCTATTTAAATACCTATATGAGTATTCGAGTCTCAATAATATTTCGTCAAACATGTAGTAATGTTGACAACTCAGCAACTGACTTAAGTTTTGTCACCGCGTTAACTTAACAGTTAAATAAGAGCTTATGGGTCAACAATAGTTTTTCGATACATAAAAACAATACAATATTTTTAATCTCTATCTGTGGCTAAATCTCTAGGTATATTTTACCCTGCATGAAGAGGTTATTTTTGCTCGAAAAATAACGCCGAAAGCTTCATATGACATGAAGCTAGTAAATGTATACTTTTGAAATCTCGTTATTTGGCGTTCCTCAAATGTGGTTTCTTGTTATCACATTTAAGTCAAGCGAGAAGAGTAATTCGTAAAACGCATGGAAATTTCTGATTCGAAAACGCTTAGCCGTTACGATGAGCATTATCGTTAGGATGTTTGACAAATTCATCGAAGATCTTACTAGATGCCATTTCATATTCAAAGACATCTACCAATAAGACTTGTTTCTATGTTAACAGAGACATATTTGTCGTATTTTTTTCTTTTTTTCCTTTTTTATGTTCTTCTCATTTTGCTTTACCGGCTCTTTGTTTGGGTAGATTGGCACTATGAAATACTATGTTAGGAGTCTGTCTGTTGATTATGAAGTAGGCAGTGGCCCAACCAAGACTAGAAATCACACTGTTCTGCATATTTTCAATGGGCTTCCTTCGCCTCAGCACATGTCATGGATTCTTCTCAGTTTATGAAAATTCATCGAACTTGCGTTAACCCATCTGGCGAGGGGATCTATATACAGCTTAAAGATGTTAAATGCGAGTATTCAAGATATGCTATTCTTTAAAACGACCGTAAACGAAAACGAAGGGAAATTCGTTTTATGCCTGATCTTGCATTGCGATATGAAACAAGGTAGCGAGACTGGGCATGGCCACAGAGCTGCTGTCTATACGCACGGCTTTGCACAGGAAGTGTGAATCCCTGTGGAATGGGATAGCTTTATAGATATTAATTCTATGTACCACGTTGTTACAGACAAATCCAACGGACTTCGAAATTGAATAATTTTCGAACTACGTGCCCATAGCAGACGAAATTTCGGGAGTGAATGCTTTTATTTTCTATAAACTTATGACTGAAACTGGGCTTACGTTTATTTCAGGAAAAATTTGGTTCAGAAACACAAAAGCCTCAAAATTCAATGCTGAGTTATCACGTTTTTCTTTTAAGGCTATAACGATGTGAAAATTCGTCGAGGTTAATGAAGCGATTAGGCAAGGAATTCTCAAGCAAAAGAACTGTACATGAACGATGCAAATGTTTCAGGAACGAAAATTGGTGTGCTGAAGTGTTTTAACAAAACTGGGACTTGAAGTCAAAGTCGGAATGTTACATTCAGCTTGTTGGTAAATTATAATCCAAATACTGCAAATGTGGGAACTGGTTATGAAGTCGCTTTCCAGGCCAGTTGGAAATGCGTGCGCTGTATTTCAGGTGCAATTCGCAAAACTTTAACCAAAAACCCACTTGGAGCATACGAATGCCATAGACGAGATTTGGCTCAACTTTTACCGCCAGCCTGAAGGGGGTTAGGGAATAGAATGGTACGAGTGTCAAGTAGGTTCGGGCGTAAAATGGCAGTAGTATTTTGCGGTGGCCATTTGGAACGTCTGCTAGTATAAAATGCGCGCCAAAGATAAAATAATGAATGCAGTTCGCTACCTCGAATTTTTATGAAACTTATAGAACGCTAAGGCAATCGCAAGCACGCAGTCTAATCTTATGCGAGACTTATGATGCCTTGATCGTTTCCTGGACTGAGCAAAGCAACATATATAACATTGGCTTCAACCTGCTTATGACCAATATTTAAACCCATTCTATATGCTAAAAAGAGCGACTGTATGGCAAGCAAATCTCACTATCGATCTATTTCGAGAAGCTATACATGAAAAAATGACATATGAAAACACGAGGGGTAGGTGGCTGTTGAAAAGCTGGGACAAGCGTGTAAAACATAAGAGAGAATACCTTTAACAGAAATTATAAATTTGTCGTTCTAAAGTACAAGTTCAGCAATTTCAAAATTGGCCGATTCTTTTTTGACAGTCTAAGATTTAGTATTTATATGTTATTTTTTAGAGAATATATATATATATATAAATAATAACTGCATTAATTTTAACTTTTTTAAATCATGATCAACGCTGCTCTTGCATATAGATAAAGGATTCAATAGGTGGGAACTACATTGAGTCTCAATGCTAATGCGTATAAAGGGTGGTGAGACTTGAGCAGTCATGTACTGGTACGTGCTTACGGATTTCTGGGAAATATGTTGGGCGTACTCAATAGCTGGAGAATGCTTTCTGCCTGAGCTCTACCTGGAGAATATATTTGTCATAGTTTCCCGTACTGTCAGCGTCCGGTACCGCAAATATTCTTTATTCTAATACACAGTTTTAGACTGCTGTCCCGTAGATCAGAACAATAATATTTCCACTGTTTTTATTGTCATTTCCGTAGGGAAAAGGGTCATCAGAGGTTTGCGGAAATCTCCAATAAATAGTTATTATTATATAGTTAGTGATAGGTGAAGCTTTTGTGTTAGTTATCTCCTCGCTACAACGAAAAAACCTCCTCGAGTCATATCTAAGCAAAACTGCTTCTAACCAACCCATCACTTCAGTCGTAAATTAGTCCATTTTCTTGCCCCGTGGATACTTCTTGCTCGACCGTTGCATAGAAATATTTTGTAAGATCCATAGACGAAAAACGTCTGAGTTAAAACTTTTTCCATTCAGTCGTATTAGCTTTTTCTGTTTATGGAAATCGTAGCGCTTGGTGACATATGTAATCTCGTATAGAGGAAGTAGGTATTGTAGGGTTTTTGTTTGAGAAGAGCGTAGGCCAAAATTTAAATGGTTAGGTGGTATTTTGATTTAGTCGAGGGTTTTCTAATAGCACTCATAAGTTATGCAATTTTACGGATGAGACTTCTAAACTGAGAACTTTTTTGTCTATTGTTACCTCAGCAAAGAAAGATACGACCAATACGCGAGCTCAAATAACCATCCAATAGTTATATAAGCTAATATTCATAAACTATAAATCTTTTTGACAAGTTTTCTGTATATCCATTAAGCAGAATAGTAAAACTACGTACCAATTGAGAATGTTGCTCGCCGGAAATTTTCATCATAATAGATGTCAAGATGTGATGACATCTTTAGTCTTTTTACTTAAAATATAACGTTATCTGGGTCTGGTATTATTTTACAAGAAAATAATTGTCAAGAAGTACGACTAATGCTTGAGGCAAGCCGGGAAACTGACTTTAATTCAACCTTTTGTAAAAATGCAAAATTTCATGCAGTCGATGATCATCCTTGGTTTGAAATTTCAGCTCCTAAATTATTTCGCATTTTGAGGTAAATACGAGAGAGAAGCCCAAGCGAAGTTAAGAAGTAACTTTAAAAAAATATTTTACTATTCCACATGTACTGTTTCTATCGGTTATGTTCAAATGTTGATTTGTTTCGCCGAATTTTTAAAACAGCTTTCGTGTACGTGTTATTAGTTCAACGTAAAAACTATCAGGGAAACTTTTTACCAAAACCAAACTCGTGTCCAGCGGTTACAAAAGTTTATACATGTTCGCAATCCCAACATGCGAGGGCTGAATGGAAACGATTCGCCGTAAGCCAACATGGCCAAGCTGGCGTTGATTCCTTCCTTCCTTCGGCTTTTAAAAGTAACTTTAGCGAAGCCGACTGTTAAGGCTTGTTAAGAAAACATTTAAACCCCAAAAATGTTCTTGTAGAAATTTTACTTTTTTTTTATTTCTATAACAAAATGTTTCAGGCCCTGAATAATCGGCTAACGTGTCTCTTGCCGTCATTGCCGTTTTATGGGAGAAAACTCTGAAAAAGCGCTCGGAGGCCAAACGGCCATTGAATGGCTGTAACGGTGTCCCAAGACGCACTTGTCCAATGTGATTATTTCATCAAAAACTTTACTTTCGCGTACCTTTAGTACATTTTTGATCAAAAGTGAGATATACTATGTTCTTTTGGCGCACCATCGATTTTGCCACGAGGAAAAACATGCTTTTTTGTACCGAGCAGAGGTTCAACTAAAGAGCTATCAATGTTCACTAGCACAAATATAACTTCTCTAATAAATTAGTGACAGGCGAAGTTATTTCAAATTTTATCAAAATAGCCCAAGTGCTTATTAAGATTTTAAATCGACTGTTACTGTTCTGGCGTGCCTTTCTTTATATACATGACTATTTTGATAAAGTCCGACTTGCTGTGTGTTTTGCATAATTTGTAGTTCTTACAAAATTTCGCAAATAAAAAACCACACAGTGAATCCTGAAACAATGATTCACTTCCTGGACAGAAAAATGATTGTGAAAAATCCATGTGCTCACCGATCATCATCGGTTGATGCAGTGTTTGTTAAGATGTGTTACACCACTGAATATTTTATTTATTAACTTATGTTATTTTAATTTATGCCTAGATACCTATATATTTCTCTTATTCTTCTTAAAAGATACGTTACAGGCGGCACATGCCTGAACGGACGATGACAAGCAAAACGTTCTGAATATCATAACGGTAATGTATATGGCTATTATCGGTTCATTTGTAATTGGGTACCCCTAATAATCTGAGTAAATTTTACAGTGGACGTTTCGAAAAAGACAACTTGTACAAAAATTAAATGCACAAAAACAGTTAACCATTCCCAGTCTGTCACTACATAATGGCCCCAGTTCGACTCACGTTTATAATTTATCGTTCGAATTGCTACGGTGACGTATAACGGTGTCTCGTATTCAATAGATGCGATTGCGTGATGCTCCGCTTAGAATGGTCTAAAAGAAAAAAAATAGATGGTCTGAAATTGGTGTGACACCTCCTTGTACAGCCTTGTTAGCTATTAGACTATGCCGGGTATCTACGTTACCCCGATCAATGCCTGCTTAATTCATATTTAATAGGGGAAAACTCTGCACTTCTGTTGCGATGTGGATGAATGATCTCTAGCGCATGTGCCAAAATGAATAATTTGGCCCCATTCTGTTTGCCTTTTTTGTTTACCTTCTCTGTCCTATTTAAAACATGCCTCACTCTCAAGTCGTTATCGGTTTTACTCAGTCAAGTTAAAGGGTCTATGAATTGCATTTTCGGGGGATGACTATAGATAAGCCTAGTTACAATTAATGCAATTTCTTTAGTGCCTAATTGTGTCTCAGCAGAAATTACGCTTTTTGTTTGAGCCTTAGTGTTTTTTTGATTCATATACGTTATCAGATCAAGGCAAAAAAAAGAAGAGTCAATTAGTAAAATGAGTAACATAAACTTATTTGAAATGTTGCTGATTCAGATGGTTAGGCAGTCAGGTCACCATCATCGGGAGGAATAGGTACAATTAGTGTTTATGGGTTAGTAATGTAGTTCGATTGTTCCCAAAGGTACAATCGAGTAACTTAGGAACTGAGATCAAGTTTAGTTGGGAGTTTGAGCTTTAGTCGGCTATTTTTCCTCTGGTAAAGGGAGCAGCCCTAATTGTGATAGAAGTATACCGACGCATAGTACTCACGTGTTCGTATCTTGGCCCATAGGAATTCATGGTGCACATATTCGAGATGAGAAAAGCAAGTTATCACAGCTTTTTGTCGAGTTTTAAAACGTATGTAGTGACGATTTTGGATTTTTTGGGAAATAGAGTTACGATACCATTCTCAATCATTGTCCTTGTAGAGACCCTCATCGTGTTTTGGGACCTCATGTCAAAGTTTGCCAAGAAATTCGTTCTTTTGATTTATGGTAGGAGGCAACTAATCGATTCGATAGTATCACGTACAGTATGTGTGAACGTGCAATTGATTTTAATACATATATCATGCATCTTCATATATGTAAACATATATAAGGTAGAGAAAGTCTGTTGAGAACTTAGAAGCGACTTGACAGATATATACTAATATAATATGCCATAGTTATGAAATTGACTCTAAGACCGCCAAAAGACTCTTTCTCTACCTTCTTTATTAACGTCAATATAAGCAGTTATAATTTTTCTATTTATATAACTAGTTGACGCCATTTGGTTTCGTCGAATGGTCCAGAGGCCGTCTTGATATGTGTGGTCAAACTTAATTTATGCAATTTCCTAAACTAGAAAGAGTGCAGTTTCAAATACATCATGTTTATTTTTTTCCACATTTTCAACCTATTTCTCTTGCATTAATTGGTAGTAACGTAAACCATCCTCTGCGAAATATATCAATCTTATCACTGCCATATGCAGGCAAAATAGGGTTACCTTCTTCGTCCTTTGTTTATATAAATTATGTATGTTTTACAGGGTCTCCCGCTAATATCTAACCGCGTTACTCAGCGGCTAATTACATTGTATCCTTGCTAATAGAGTATAGGCTTTAATTTACGTCATTGCGTATATATATATTGTGGTTGACTAATCCTAGCTTTGCCCGTCGAAGGTTGACGCCGTACTTCCTTATGCATAACGCAACTACACGTAAATTCAAGAAGTTTCTACTCCACATGTGACAATCTGATCTGTTAAATGCAACAAATTCTCATTACTTTGTGTACGTCTCTTTATTGTTCAATCTCTCATTGAAAATCGCAATCATAGAAAGTGACCTGTAATACACAGTAACCCTATTGTCATCCAAAAAAGCTCTGCATTAGTAAACAAATAAATTGTGTTGTAACGACTACAAGAACAGCGTCAATGTCCTGCAAATTTTAAAATCCTCAATATCATTTTGTCTAATTGACTAAATAACAGCAGAACTATTTTAAGCGCTGAATAAATTGGGCAGCACGTAGTGACCGACATATCATCTTACCCTTATCATTTTATTTATATATCGAATACCTAACAACAATTGCAGCTAGCAACGTTTTTCAAGCAGCCTTCAACGCCTTCATTTAGCTGTTTGCCTCTAAAACCGGTAGATACTACCTCATGCCTTTATTGACCAACAAGTTGTTATAGAAGGTATATCAGGCTGTTAGAAATGACATAGGCAGGCGTTAAAATTTGAAGTACGCGTTGCTGGCAAATACCCTAGACTTCTAGGAACTTGTGAGTAAAAACCGGTTGACTTTACTCAAGGGAAAATCATTTCAGAAGGAAAAAAGTTTTTAACCTCGAAAATCAACGCCTAGTAAGCGAATTTTTGTTCTTCGAAGGCCACAGCGCTATGGAAATTCATCGAAGGTTACTACGAAAGAAGGGAGATCATAGTGTTACAGGTTAACAAAGAGCCGATGCCGAGAGCCGAAGGACAAGGAGACAGTGCCGAAATCAATGCGGTTTTTCACAAAAGCAGAACTTGGCATCCAAGGGCTCCGTCGGCCAAGACTGGCATTTCACATGCAACGTGCTACAGAATTATAACCAGAATACCAAAAATAGGGAAACCGAATAAAATTGGGTTTTCCGTAAATTGACTCCAGGCTAGTTAGAAATGCGTGTGGTATATTTTACATGCGATTCGTGGAACTTTAAAGCATACAGTGCCCACTGTTAGTCGGCAATGGACATCAGGGTACTCACCCAAAATAAAACAATGAATGCAGCTGACCACATCGAGAGACTCAGACCGTTGTCAGGGCAATCGCAGTCTACTTACTTGATGTCCACGCGTCAATTACTCTCTGTTTTACCCTTTGCCTTGAAACGGGCAACCGGTCAGCAAGTGTATCGATTTGTTTCGAAAAGCCATAGTTAGAGGAAATGACATATATGAAAAAGCATGGTAGGTATATGACTACCTAGAGGCTGCTAAAGGCTGTATCAAAGTAAAGACGAGTACCGCTAACAGTTGTTAAAAAGATCATCATCCTAGTCTAACAAGTACAAAAGTCATTCGATTTCAAAATCCGCCGGTTTAATTCTAACATCTATATATATATATATATATGATAGGGTAAAAGTCCCTCAGTTTCAGTCCTTTTTTAATACTTGTTAAAGTAGAAAAAGATTATTATCCAGTAAAAATAATAGTAGAAAGAAGCTGCGAAAAGACCTTCAGACTATCAGGAAACTTTTGTCCCACCTTGTATATTACTGTTAATACAAATTAAACGTTCACAGATATTCTATCTGAGATTGCCATTAGGCATCATTACAATCGAGACATATCGTTTGCGAAACTAAAATAACCAATTGTTTTGTCCAGCTTTTACTCAACACAGCCTTTTCAACCGATTTGCTGTGCGCAAGGCTAAATCGCGGCCACTATCATGAGCCGGTATACGTCGATGGAGCTGTTAGTATCATACATAATGTATATTGAAGTGGATATACCAACCCAACTGAATATCAAGCTTGGCTTCATACTTAGGCCACTAGTAACATTATTATCCTTATGAATGGTAGACGTTGAATGAAATGTATTTATTGACGAATATTCTTACCGTAGCGTTCGCGCATGCACCGAAACTATGACTAATCTATCGCCTTGGGTACTTTTTGTACGTCATTCTTTTTTTTATTATCGCCTTGTTTGTACAGCCAAGAATGACGTTTCCAAAATAATTTCGAGCTCTTTTTAATAAAATCTTCAATGCAAATATATGTAGATGAATTCTCAGTACTTCACTAAATTAACTGGTTCTTAGCGCGGAGCGGTAGCTGAAAAATCGTTATATCCTTTTGATTACGAGGAGTGACGCAAACTATCATTTCCTGGCCCTTTGTCTTGTCAAATCTTAACCCTACCTTCTATGTACATCGTCACAATGTTTCCGTCTTAATACTTTGCCGCAAATAAAGCCTAGCTCGCTTAAATGTTTTTGTATTATAATAATATTTCATCGATTGTCACAGCAGAAGTCAATATGATGTAAAGTGACCTCAAATCGTGCAAAACTGTGCGGAGATGATAAATAAAAAGATGTATATATATTTATTTTTTGACCTGTATTATTTTAGTTTAGTGCTGACAACACAAGCAATCAGGTACAAGCCTTAATAGATTTAACGGCTGTCCACTACGTGCTTTCTAAGCAGCGTTGCAAGTGAAATGTTCCCATAAAATAAAACATTTAGTGCCCTAATCTTGAAGCACGAATACGCTAGGCTTCTAGCGTTCGAGTGCTCCTTTTTGCCCAGTAGTGTTCTACTGCGGGAAAGCCGATTTATTTATTGTACTGTGACGTCCATTTTTGTCGATTTTGGTCAGCTTCACGTCGATTGGAAACCAAGTCGAACACAGAGGACCTACCCTACGTTTTTCTATTGTATTGCTATCGATTCTTTTATTCGTTATGATTTAGATATTGGCTCGCTATATTTTTTCGTAAAATTTGCGTTTGTGTTAATAGATCGCCCCAAATAAACAACAATCAGTATTCAATTATACATATAACCGCGGACAAGAGCTGTTCCTTTGCCGTTTGTGAGGACAGACGTCTCAAAATTCAGGTATATGGCTGTCATATATTAGGCGCTCGTAGCTCTCATTGTACCGTCCGTATAACAACCGTTTCTAAACCGTTTCTACGAGACAAGAATATGAAGGGCAGTTTCTTTTACGAATTTTCCTGCCGTATTTTCGTCGAATCTCTCTGTGCTTTAATAACCGACAAACAAATCTATACGATGAAAATGTACAGTTAGATGAATTTCACTGGTTTCATTATAGCTTCACCAACCATTATAGGTAGTCCTGTCTACTTGTCCTTCCTCTCTTTTCCTTCTTGAACATGAAGTCTTTAAAAAACTATTTACCACGTACAATAAATCATAGGCGCTGACAATTCTGTCAACTTTTTGTGGTACAATATTTTAGGATACAGCGTATTCAACGCTATCGATTGGGTTGTCAGTATGGACCTCACAAACGTAATATCGATATATTATGACCCAACTAAGAAGCTTAATGAAGCCTTCATTTGAGTGTTAGATGCAACCATCACTTCTCTGATTGGAAGAATCCTTTCATAATACTAGCTGTGAGAGACTCGATTATCGTTTTGATAAGAAGCACTTACGAATACTTACTATCGAATAGTTGAAAATCGAATTTTGTCTTCTTACTAAAAGTATAAGTCCCAAATACTACTACTAAGTGCTACTTGAACAAACTACTGCAAAATATTCAAGGGTTGCGTTAATATGGGCCTATTTCGTTAAGGCTATTGCTGTAAATAGTGATACCACTAATCAAATGAGAGGAACATAAATTAGACAATGTAACGTGCTCTGCAGACAACTACTACTCATTTCAAACGAGCAAGCACATACGTATAGAGGCCTATATGTTTCGAGTTTTACGTCCGGCATCGCTGTTAGGCATTCCGTCAGACAGACCGCTGGCTCCCAGCACGATAGTACAGAGACCTACAGGTACGCAACTCAGTTAACCGTTATTCCGTCTGCGTTTTATTTTACATTTGGCCTGATCGTATTCACTGTTCGATTCTGATAGCATTTAAGGGTCGATCCCTTCGATGACTGCAGCCCAATGTTTCTTGCTTTTTAACCAGAACTACATTCTGGCTTTTCTGCGGAATCAAACTGACCCGAGAAACAACACTTGCAATCTCATATGCGCTTGCCGGGGTCACGTATCTCCTAACCGCTAGACATCTTGCGCCTTCGCTGCCACACGTCGTTAAAATTTGAAAAATATTACCACAATAGAAGTGTTTAAGTCGCAACTTAAATGGGAGGATGTAACACTGTGCAACACGTGTTGTTTTATCCATGAGCATCAATGATTTCCAACTGTGCTATATCCGAAACGGTGTCATGACCCCGTATTAGAACATCGATCTAACGTTTTTTTGTGCTAAGGTGTTGTTCTCTATCATTCTTAAAGCATGCTAATGGAGAGCCTATTTTAATGAATTTGTACGGGAAAATATGTTTATTATGAAGTAAATAAATTATCAATTCTTCGGTTGCAAATCCCGTTTGAAAGTACGTGGAAGTATAGATATCTCTCCGTGTAATGTATCCTTTATTTTCGCATTTCCGTTAACGAATCTGCTTTGGTCGGCTTTAAAGTATCAATACAGACACAGATATTTGTACATAATGCGTAACTTTTTTTTTTTAATCTGCACATATAGTTTCAAATATGTTGTATTCGTTTATTGCATACTTGCAGGTATCACATTCTACATTTTGTTTCCCAACTTAAAGACCCGCTTGGCGGACAATTTTCTACAGATGTTTGCGCTCCATTATATTCTGGCAACGATCAGCCGAGTCTTTTTGCTATTGCAGTACACTGCGCTTTTCACGCAAATCATGTACACCGTCAGAGCTCAATTTTTGAGGCGATTTGGCTCGAGCAAGGTTTCAGTAAGTGCTATGCCGCATTTTTCCCCCCAAAAACGCTATACGTGTTCAATATCTCGTGCCGATGTGTTTTAATAAATAAGACGCCATTAAGTAGCACGCATTACAACAAGTCTTAAATGTGTTCTGGGAACTCTAAAAGTAAATTGCTAAAAAAAATGTACTTCTTCGTTCGGGAAGCTGCGATACATGTAAAACCTCGAAGACTGATAGCATGGATGTGGGTACCTAAAATCGACAAAGCTTAATAATAAATGATCTCTCATTTTGCTTTCACATAATAGTGTCTATGTTGAGACTGCACCCTATTACGATTCCGTTCTCTAAATTTTTGTGTGAAAATCGACAAAAATGCGTGCTATATATCAAAATAGATCGACAAGCATAAATAAAATGAGAAACATGAAAAGATATGAAAAGATCTATTGTGCGTGAACATTTTAAGTCTATTTCTGTTAAACACGAGTCTCCTCAGTGGTGCAGTAATAACACGTGCCTGATATAGCATACTGAGTTAACGTGCCGATCTAAATTCGGAGCCGGTTGATTTCATTTTTAAATAGCTTCTGGTGATAAGATTTCTCAGCTCGAGTGCGGGTTTTTACTTTCAACGCTATTGTGGTCTCATTCTGTGTATTAGTATCGATATTCGTTGATGATATCAGTTTAATGCTAAGGTAAATACCATAACAGCAGGCCGTAGTGCAGCAAAAAAAATTAAAGTTCTTGGAACCACAGCTGTACTCATTTTCGCTTTTTTCAGTTATATCAAATTGTACTGCTTCCTGAGATGTTTGAAATGCTGAAGTCACATTTATAGTATGTTCTTCGCTAACTCTATAGCATGTTAAGCGAACATATAGCATTCTTAATACTATAAAACAGCAATCAATTGGAAAAATAAAAATATCTCCAAAATACGTGAAATCGACTTTTGATGAAAGTGATGTCAACTTACCGAGTAATACCGAGTGGAAAGATGCCGATTTTCATTATAATGTCTTGACGGACTAATTTTGACCCGAATCTATCGTTTAGCTGGCGAGTCCATCCGTTGCGGATAGTATTAGCCTATGAATAATGAGATCAGCGAAAATTTACGAAGTTTTTCTTTAGAGTGATTTATATATAGAATATCCATACATATGTGGGCCTGTACGTCATTCACTGAAAAGCTTTACTCGTTTTCTGTTCTCAGATATTTCGATGCTGTTTGTTGACATCTTCGCCAGCTCATCTGTACAATATTGGGATGCAACGACTGGGTCAACTCACACCGTTTGCCGCGATCAGCCATGGATTTATGATTGCTCTCGGAATTGCTAATTTAGTCGCTCAGTTCAATTAGCAAAAAAAGCTATTGAGTAACCTAACTGACACTCGACCGTTACCTGGGACTGCTTTCACTGGCAACTTTTTGGTTCAAAAACATGGGATACTAGTCGCCACTTGAAGCTCGTTTTGTATGCCGCCTCCGACTATCCTTAACCGACCCGTCCGATGTCAAAAATCTGTCAAGCTCTTGTCTTTCACGTAGTTTTCGTGCGTCTTACATCTTTAAGAAACAATTTGGAGACGTCGTCAAGCGTTATGTGCATTCGTTCAACAGTATATAATCATTTTATCGGGCGACAGCCATTTCGCCTTTAAAGGTGTTATCTCACTTCATGAAGCGTATTACTACGTAGCTGTATAAGTGACGGCTTTTTCTAAATGTTTATATGCATTTTATGCCAACATTGTCTGCTGAAGCGCCCGACTCACTCTTCCAAACATTTGAAAAGCGAAAGAACGCTAAACATTATATGAGTGATTTATTTTGAGTTTAGAGAGGAATATTGACCCCCCCCCCCCCCCGGGAAGAGTATTCCTCTGAAATTATGTGTACCTAGCGCGTTTCCTTCATATCCATCCACGACGAAAACCCATTTAAACGGGGAACAGTAGTTGTCGTCAATTTGCTAAGACGATTTTAATAATTTATCCTATGATTTGTGAGGTTATCTAAGCTAAGTCAAACTGGCAAACAAAAAATACAGTCAACTAGTAATATTACAATTTACTGCTATAATAACGATAATATTTGGTGGTAATAACCTTAATGATAATTGTGTTACGAGAAACCAGAGAATAAAAAATCGTAGTTCTTACCCTTGAAAGCGTCAAGAACCTTATGCTACTTTAAATATCTTTATCTCCCCACTTCGACATGCCGCTTGCCATAATTGTCAATTCTTAATTAACGATGCTTGACTATTTTGGCCCGGGACCGACAGTCCGACTCTACGAACATATGATGACTTAAATACAATAAGCAGTTTTTGTGAAAATAGTTGTCGATAAAAGCAGTTATTTTCTTTACCAAGTCCGAATTGGTTTTTCATCAAGACTGAGGCAAATGAAGGCACGCATATGTGTCTCCTAGAAGCTCCAAACAAGAGGGATATTAAAATAGAAGCTTTCATTAGGAAGGTATGAGACACAATAGGGCACTGATGATACGTAGCTATTGAACGAAAAAAGAAGCTGTCGTTCAACAACGAGCTGTAAATTTGCCGCTAAGTGTAATTCTCAGATAATACAACAACGTACAATGTTTACTTAGCATCTCCCCGCTTTTTTTCACGCTTGACATAAATAGCCAGTGTACTGTGGCACTGACTGACAATCGTGCACAGTAACCTCGCTTGCTAAACAAAAAGTATGTGTTTTCTAAAAAGTAACTTTTCAGATATGGTTTTATTTTGTTCCTTACACATATACGGATACATGCGATCCCGACATTTGTAGCTAAATTATGGTAGACAAGTACATGCTTACGCTTTAATACACAAGCAATGCATTGTAACTATCTCTATGTCCAATTGAATTCAGTTATCTCCAGCGATTTGATGCTTTGTTGACTGTCTTTATTTCATCAACAGCAGAAAGTGCGTTTCAAAAGTCAGAAGTGAACCATATGCGGTCAACCTTGAAAAATAGGTGCTGTGCGCTAAAAAAAAATAGATGGGCTGCAATATACGTTGCAAGAGCTGGAAATCTCGATGGAAATTTTTATACATAATAAAAAAAATTCTGTCTTGTAAGAGAAAGCCTGGGTAGGACAATATATATGCACAAGTTAATAATCACAAAAACTCTGGGCCAATTACGCGCCAGTTACTATGCTTTACACAACAACGAATCAGTGAAGTGGTAGCAGCAATGTTGTAACTCAATAGGACATCAGAATGATTAATCATAATCCGTCATTCTTTCTACGTATAGATAGCTCGCTTTTTATAACTACAAGGCTATGTTCTTTACCCTTGCATGTCCGGGTACAGACCATTATCTGAATAGCAAAGGATAAATAATAACCCGTCGTAACTGGCAGTCGAATTGAAGTTGTGACTGAATGACTCTATTTGAACCATAATATTAGTGTATTCATTGAAATAAATTCCAATGATCCAACCGCCACAGAATTGTACCAGATAGGCTGTTTAATTAATAATGATAATCTCTAATAAAACTTTACTCAATTTCGACTGTACGAATTCAAAACTGCGTTTTATCACTATTCAAAAGTAATTAATGTCAAATTATGCAACTTTCTCATGCTCAGCTCGTCTAAATCACAGATCTACGCCGAACTATTACCTCAAGCATATATGCTACTTATTTAAGTCAGCATGACGTAGCATGATATATGCGGGGCTAGTTGAAGCGGCAAAACGCAATGAGTCTTTGAAAACATTGAGAGGAGCCTTGGAAAAAATACATTTTAGCTAAGTTAGCTTCAACCGTACAACGCGTTACAGTAGTAATATGGTATCTTGATACTGAAAATACAATATTTTATATACAGTACATATTATACGCTTTTTGACGCTGAAATCGAAAGTATGGCTTTTCCTCGTCATTTCAGACGAGTAGATTTCTACACCTAATTTACAATACGCCTCATATAAAATAGCATGACACAATGTTTAGCAGCAGTACTAAATGTAAGACTCAAACTACTAACTAGCTTATTATAGATGACCTGTATTCGATCAAGGTTGGCTTTCTTTTTATATTAAACTGGTCCTCTCAATTATTCCACTCGACTTGCCAAGCTGCTAGACTCCGCATTCTGATTTGGCGTAAAGCACCATCGTATTAACGAAAAGCACGCCCGCTAACACTGGCAACAGGACTCCGCACCAAGTAGAAATCATTTAAGTATTAAATTTCATCGTAGCATAAAATATCATCAGTTTTCAATTTTGCCATATTTTCTCCTACTTAACTTCACTTACACCGAACACCATCACCTTCATTGCTACTGCCATGACCGATATGGAACGCAATCGCGCATTCTCTCACCACCGAAGTTCGTCTCACACTGTAATGGGGGTAGAAAGCGCGCCTTATTTGTCTATAATACTTTATGATCGATACTACGAAATTTCATGGTATTCCCTTTCTCTCTCTTGCGTGTATGTGTTATTCAAAGATCTGAGCCACCACCCCTTAGCCCTTCCCCATCTGGTCGCGAATCGCCCGCCGCATGACCCTCGCGAGCAAGTGATGTCTTCGCCGATTTTAAACCACGTCAAAATACGTTCATCTCTCAACCAAGATGGTGACCGCCGCGGCAGCGCCGCCTTGGCTTCGTTTTGTTAACGACAACGAGAAGCGAGGATAGTGGGGGCACAATGTTTTTCTCAACGAACGAACGGCAGCAGAAGCTAGTGTCTACGCACAGCCGTTGTAGAAACAGTCTTTACGGGCAGGTAAGCAGGTTGTCTTAGCATCCAAACTACGACTACGGCTCCCTTGGGGGGTTTATGGTATATCACTCGTGGTTGTGTGTTGTTTGCTTGCTCGTTCTGTCGGCCGCTGCGTCTGTACGGCACGGCCGCAGCGGTAGCGAGTACGAACGAGTTCTGCTTTCACTCGATGCTACAGTTAGTGTTAAGGCAGCAGCTGCGGTCGGGATCAGCAGCACTCTGCTCCATCGAGTGCTACAAACGAATGATTGGTTAGCGGGAGCTAGCGGGTACTTGGTTTTGTGTCGCTGTGTGCGGCAACTAGGGCAACTGCTGCTGCCGCTGCTGCTGCTGCTGCTGCAGCAGCAGGCAGCGGGCAGGCAGACGGGCGGGCGGAAGCAACACCAGTATCAAATGTTGGTGGCAATCGAGCCAGGCACCGGTCAGCAAGCCAGCGTCGAAAGCCACTAGCAGTAGCAGCATCTAGTAAGTGAGCGAGCGAGCGAGTGAGCGGATCTCTCAAGCAACCCTCAGTGGGGCAGTGTTCGTTGTGCTGCTGCCTGCAGCGGGGAACCATCCACTATCGGCTCGCCGCTAGCACACGACCCAGTCGTTCATTGGCTTTATTGCTGTGCACAAGGTGGTGTGGCTAGCGAAGCCGGCAACGGCAGCAGCTTCGCTGGCGAACAGCAAACAGGGCAGTACTAGCGGTAGCCCTAGAGCCAGAATCAGCACACCACTGCTGAAGCGCCGCGGCAAGCACATCTCACCGTCGCTGGTTACTGGCTGCTGTTTGCTCGTCCGTCGGTCGGGCGCAGTCGTCGTTATATCCATTGTCTGTCGATGGTGGCGCTGCCTGGCCGAGTTAGCCCGCTAAGCCTAATCACTGATTTGTATCGTTCCGTTTTGCTCGTGTGTGGTGGACTAGACCTGCGAGACCCGCCGCGTACCAGCCACCGAATCGTAGTGATTCGCAGCGCTGGACGTACGGCGTAACGCCCAAATCATCAACAACAACAGCAGCAGCAGCGGACTGCAGAAGCAGTGCTATCAACAGCAGCAAGGTTTCGACGTGCGTAACCGACCGTCTCCCTTCCGATCCACCCGGCCCGAAACACTCCGAGAGCAGGAATTGTGCGTTGTTGTCGTGCTCTACACGTCGTCGTCCTTCAGCATCGTCGGCAATTTGTGTATCATCGCGTGTGTCGCTGTGTGCTTCGCTAGTTGCTTGACCACTGCTGGTGACCGCCGATCACTGCCGATTGGTTTGTTGCTTGCTTTTCTCCGTATCGCTGGATGATATATGGGGTGGTGGCTGGTTACATATTGTGGAGCGTGAATTGTTGTGCTAGCAGTAGTAGTGCGTTTGTGTGGGAGGCGGGCGAGGCCGGATGTTACCGAGGTGTGATTGCAGCAAAGCGAGCAAATCAACGAGTACAGAGGAATATATTCGATCTACAGTAAATACCCAATTGTATAAGATGTAGTGGTGTGCCGCTAACAAGCAACAGCGTCAACAGCAGCGGCAGCAGGATCAGCACTAGAAGACACGGTGGCGGCATTGGCAGGAGAGCAACTCACACCGCGAATTCGCCAATAGCGAAGGCGCCATTACCACGATCACCATTCTCTCGTCGATTTCACTCGGGTCGGACTAACACCGACGGGACCGGGGCAAGCTATAGCGACTTATGTGAACAAGGTGAGTGTAAATATTATCACGTTACTCTAGTTAATCGTGGCTGTGCGTCAGATACGCGTGTGATACAGTACCTGGTATAGATGTGATGGGTCAGTAGCACCAGCACCAGCATCAACAAGAAGCAACTTCACTGATACCCACTGCAATATATCGCTATCTTATAGTACAATACAATATGTGCTCGCGCGTCTAGTCAGTGGCGCTACAACGGCTGCTGCACTGCTCGGCATTAGCAGCTGTCGCGTACCGTATTGCTTCGTGTGCGCATGACGTGAACATCTTATTTTGGGTATAATCTGGCGGTGCGTCACGTTGCGTTCAATCTCAGGCGGGCAACTTTAACGCCGCTAAGAACAGCAGCAAAAGCGACAGCAGCAGTGTTAGAAGCAGGAGGAATTGTGTGCTATAAATTGCCTCGATCGAGTGTGTATCGTCGACTGTAGCAGAGGAATACATCAAACCTCAGGCCACGGTGGCATCTTATTTGGCAGTATGTGTGCCTACTGTTATGTGATGATGTTAAGCCGCTGCTAATGATGCCGCCAAAAGGAAGTACAGCGGCGCGACTTCGTGTTTGTGCTGCTGCTGGTGGCTCTCATGTAGTCTTCACGACGCAATCCAATCGCGGATGATCCGACTGAGCGCGTGTTCCGATCCCATGGCGCAGCAGTGCTGCCTTGCGTCGTTATATTCCCTGGCTGATATTGTGACACAGAACGGTGCGTGCATCACAAATGCTGCCAACAGGGATTCGCTTACCACAACACGTTTAGGTGCGGCACGTTGTCCCCCCAGCGACAGATGAGGTGTCTAAAAATGTTGAGTGCTATTGTAGGTCGTGAGTTTGCTGCGGAACTCACCTCGCGGGCAATCAATCGCCCGCTCAAGCAGGCGAAGGCGGGCAGCCGGAAATCCTCGCGGCCTGCGATACTTCGAGGCCGAAAGTACACCACATAGGGTCAAATGATGAATGGCCATAATGCCATTATTACCATCATCACCAACGTCAGTATTTGTCACTGATACGAAGAAAAGACGAGACGGAGTCGAGGAGCAACGAATAGAGACAGGCCTAGGACGTCAGCGCAGGTAATCGACAGCGCGATAGGGCAGCAGTTCCTCACTGCCAGTTGTCCTAAGCAATTGTCCTTTGGGACACCGGCGAGATTCAGCCCGTCGGTGGTACCGAAAGCATCGTTTTGTCCATATAAGCCTGTGTTGGCTACTGGTACAGTTTTTATATATACGACATAGGTGACTGTTTGTTATATTCATACGTTGCCAGGCTCAATGTTCGACGCTGCCGTGTTGGTCTCCGTTCATCTATCCATCCGTGACGTCTGTCGTGGTCGCTGAATATCAGAGGCATTGCGGCAACGGGGGGCAGTCCCCTTGTATGTTTACTCTACAGATATGATTATAATATTGCTATACAGTGAATATAATCGAGAGCGCATTATCGTGAAAGAAGCGGCTACAGCACAAGAACCGTTACCATCTATAACGTTGTTATTTGAGTTAGCGGTGGTAGCTTGTTGTTCATTGAGTCGATGAATGCGGCACGAATGTGGGTAGCGCCGTGTGAGGACGTGGCTGGATGTTTGTATAGTCGCAATATGATGATTTGCGCCTTGTACTATTTTTCCATGTGTGCTTATGCTAAAATCTGTTGGTATGATTTGTCTATGCTACTGCGCCAGTGCCCTGACTCTAGGAGATACTCACGATGAGCATTGAATCATAAACAAAACGGGGGTTCATAAGTTCCTCTAAAGTTCTTTTCTACGCTCGTATATCATTGTACTTCGCCGATTTGAGCCAGATTTACGGATTTCAACATAATACTGACGAAAAGATTACGGGGTAATAAATGGATTTGGTGAATGGTGATCTGTTTTAGTGTGAGTCTGCTGTGGGCGAGGGTTGTTAAGTTTTTGCGTATTTCAGCTCGTTTGCTTTACTGTTTATATTCATTGCGTTAGCATGGCTGAACGCTGCTGGCACTGTGAATGCATATAGAAGTGGTTAAAGTCCTTTAACGCAGTGCGATATTTGTGGCAGTCATTAATCGACAGACGACAGACAACGACGTGACGGTGCTTGCTGTAAGAGCTAGGTTGCTGCTGCTGCTGTTGCCGTACGGTTCGCCCGAAGATGATAGAATAGTCATCCAGCTATTACTTTATACTGGCGTTTGCACCGTCGTTTCTAAATCGTGTTGACGATGACGCTGCGGTGGAGACTCGTCGTTTTGTCGGCCTATTGCTTGGGGGAACGTAGTCGGCTAAACCCAGACTATATGCCACGTATTTGTAATCCATATACCGTAGTTGTATCAAGGTAGGGTGAATGGTCGTGTTATCCACTAGCCAACAAAACAAGGGAAACGTCTCTTGTTGCAAGACAACGTTTATGGTGCTGATATATCGAAGTATCGCGATTTTGGTCAATTTTACTCGCGTTCCTCAGCGATTGTTGTCACCTGCCGAATTATTACTGCATTAGCTAGCAGCAATCTAGTGATATAACATTGTTATGAAGTACCTCAGCTATACGTTGTTTGTGCTGCTTTATTAGCTGATTAATCGTTGTTGAGCACTGAGTTGTTGAGTGTTTGTTTTACAAAAAGAAATTAAAAGTAAACATATTATCGAGCCGTTTTGAGGCTTAGGAACTGGACTGTCCGTAGCTCCGGCTTGCTTTACTGTGACGACTCTACGATTAATATAGATTCGAGACTCCAATTATCAGGTAGGGGTTCCTGTTGGTCGCTTCTCATTGTCTTGCTTCGCAGCCTTTGCCAACACTACAGCGGCAGGTAGAGCCCTTTGGTACAGCAATACCGACTTAGAAAACAAGCAGAGGCTGCCGAACAGCTGAGTCAAGTCGGCGAGACGGCAGCAAACGACTATGGGTCAATGCCTCGGGCAGGCTGTGGCAGAAAGTTTGTCCGGGTTGTTCGCTTCACCGCGTGCCGAACCAATCACGCTGATCTGACGCAGGATTTCTCTGCCTGAAGTAACTGAACAGTCAAGATCTGGACGTTGGTTCCTTCGTTTACGCTGAGTCTGAGTCATTTTCAATAATATAGTCATTAGCGAATCTATTCAACCATTGGCATCACTGCAATATCTGAGGTAGTTCCTTTTGAATTCCTAATCGCTGATGGTTTATTGAATGTTGCTTGCCTAAAGTTATTTTTGTGCGTGAGTGAATAATAATAAAACTCAGCAGCTATTATTATTGTTCATGTGGATGTAGCAAACACCCGTGTCACTTTTTTCATTTCGTAGCCATTACTTGATAGCCCCTTTGCTGCTATCGATATTTTCGTCTGCGGTGATCCAAATGTGTTTTAAGCGCGAGCGTGGTCGGCGCGCGGTTTTTCGTAGTCTTCAACGTTTCAGTGCGCGTTTATCGCGCAACAAACGCACGAGCATTCGTGGAAACCACAAAACCATTACTACGATTGCTTCTTACTGCGTACTGTGTTCACCGAATGGGTTATGCAAGTTTGCCGCTTGCGCTCTGAAACTCAGCGCTTCAGCTCCGTCGTGATCTCCTTGTTGTCCCTCGGACGGCAGTCAGTGCTGGCGAATGACTATACGTGCAATCGAACCGGGCGCTCGCTCATTAGTGAGCTGCGTCAACAGCAGCAGCGTCACAAGCATCAGACCTGCAAGCCACAACGGAAAGAGCAGCAGCTAAATACAAGAACCCACTTAGCGCCAAATCCGGACTGAAAGTGGCAGAGTTTACTGCGATGCGCTAGAACCAACCCTAGTTCGCAGTTTAAACACGGCAAAGCATCATTTTTCTGTGGTGGGTTCCGATGGGGAATAGAGGACATTTGGCGGCGAGATGCTGCTTGTGCACACGTGTTATCTCACCTTATAGTTATATGATAACTATGTTATTATTATTATTATATAACTATATCACTATGATCCATGTCCACATTTTTCTTCCAACCTTCGTGCGTTTGCCTCATTGCCTAAACAAAACCAATGATGTTGTTGAAGATACTGAGAGAAACGATGATATCGTCGTGTGTCGCACAGCGAACTGATCAGAGGACACTTAGCTCTATTTAGCTGCAGTGAACTAATTGTGGTAATAATAATGGAGATGGTGGCTTTGTTTGTCCCGTTCACCTCAGTTTCTGCCTCAATGTCAAGAACCGCTGCGTTGGCTTCCACGATGCAAAAGTGAGATGATAATGCGTCAATTGCGTTAAGCAGATGGCAGTTATTCTAACTACCATCTGCTAGAGTAAATGCCCTGGGACAGGAAGAAACTTGGTTAGCGAGAAAAATGTTTGTAAAAATAGGTCAAGATACTCCTCTCTAAAGGTGGGGGGTGGACGAAAATTTAAAACTTGGGATACTTAGAGGTTAAACAGGTTCTTAAAAGGATAGAACAATGTACGTAGATAATTCTGGGACCGGGACCGCGTGTTACTTCTAGGTCTGCAAATAATTTATAATAATAATGGCTAGTAAATAATAAGTTGTTCGACTTGTGAGAGAATGTCGACTTGGTGTAGCTAGACGCACTTTGGTATTGGCAGTATGATCGCTTTCAGAGCAATGTCCTGTATTTTTCTAACAAAAAATACTGCGATAATGACGTAAGTTACGAAATGTTTATATGTCAGTACAGTGGGATGTACCAGCGGCGGCACCAGAAGCTTTAGGACCTAGAGGCTGCTTCGCGTGAAGAGACATAAAGAGCGAAAAAAATAGTTTCACCGAACATGCGATGGAAGTGTGATAAAATGATTGTGGGTCAACGAGGACATTTTATTATAATACGGTTTAGTCATCTTGTCCGATCTGGCCGTTAGTGTCCCTAGACTGAATCGGCTTTGGAGATCAGACGGAAGAGCAAGAGATAAAACTGCTAGCATTGCATAATATTGATTTATTTCTATCGAGGGGGGACGGAATAATTTTGTTTCTGTCGACATCGGATGCTTTTTAGCGTATATGAACTGGTGT